ATTAAATTGGAAATAATTATAGATTCAAAAATTTAATTCAATTATGGTATAAGAATGAGTTATTTTGTCTTCATAAAAAAAAAGTGAAAACGAGTTTTTTTAAGTAGAACAAACGGCAACGAACATTGTTTGAAGAAGATAAAAGTACATGTATGCTATTTTTGTTAAAATAAAACTCGAATTGATTTATTATCCCAAAAATTAATTTTAAGGTATAAGAACGAGTTAGATGGATTGTCGAAAAAAAACATCAACTAAAAACGAGTTTTTTCAAATAAGAATAACCATTAACAAAAAATTGAGGTACTCTTACAATTTCAAATAAAGAACATATTATTGCAAGTAGAAGTTAAGATGAGATAAAATACAGATTAACCATATTATTATAGTCTTGATAATTAGGTTCATTACAAATATGCTCAAGTTGGTCGTGCTTAAATTGATGATGGATTTGTCGATCTTGCATCTCAGCTCTTATTTGTAAGTACAGACAAAAATTTCTTGGATGGCCTTGTCGTGCTTGGACTTGAGGCTCAGTGTCATCAATGGACCATTTTGTTGCCTCATCATCCTCATCATCAAATATCATATTATGTAAAATAATACATGATAGCATTATTTCATTATTCTCTTTTTTATACCAAAAATGGTTCGACCCACGTACAATTTCTCATCTTTACTGAAGCACCCCAAAAGTGCGCTCAACATATTTCCTTGCATACTCTTGTCGTTGTTTGAACTTTTTTCTTTTTAGATTATCTGGGCACTGGAAACTCTTGGCAAACGTTGCCCATTCCGGATAGATATTATCTGTTAAATAATATCCATTATATTGAGTTCCCTTCACTGTAAAATTTACCTTTGGTGCTACACCGTGTAAGACATTGTTAAATAATGGGGACTCGTGCAATACATTAATTTTCATTTTTGACCCAGCAAGTCCAGAAAAGGCATGCCAGATCCTCAAAGCTTGTGAGGCTACTGCTTCAAGCATTATTGTTGGTACATCATGATCTCCTCGAGTGTACGAGCCTTGCCAAGCAAAAAGACATTTTTTCACTCTTAGTGCATACAATCACGGCTTTCCAGCATTTCAGGAAAACCATGCTTCTCCTCGTGCAATGCAAGTAGTCGTTGGATGTCAACAACATTAGGTGAGCGTAAGTATTGAGATGCAAATACCTCACACAGAGCTTGACAAAACTCCATAAGACATCTATTTGTTGTTTGGTTAGACATGCCTAAGTTTCATCACATTGATTGACAGGTGCTCCGCTGAATTCGTGAAAAGCCATGTCTACCAGATGCATATGTTTTACTATTGAAATAATCAGAATAATTTCAACTGAATCAACAATAGGAGAAAATAAACGTATGGCCATACGGAATCTACGGTGGAAGAATACCTTGTGATAAGTGGGTTTGATAGCAAAATAATCTCTTATTAGTAAGAGCATGTCTGACATCACGACCTCGATGTATTACTCGCCTTTCTCGCCTACTTGTGTTTTCACCTCGTTCGACTTCTTCAGTCTAGAATTATCAAGCATATTTTTTTTTTAAGAAATACGCTACTTTGTCATTGGTATTTATAGACGCCTTAAAAGAAGAATAGGTAAAAAAAACGACAAAAGAGAAGATAAGTAAGATGCAGGAAGAGAAATTATTTTGTGGAAATGGTAGTATCTGAGAATCCATTTGAGACATCTATTTATAATGAAATAAGATAAGATCTACAAAGTTAGATGGGAATCATGTGAGTATCCATCACTATACCTACATTTTCTTTACTTCTTGATTGGTTGTCATTGAATTTGCACATGAATAACTAATGTATTTGTGGACATGTATTTACTGTATGTAGAATATAATACACAAAATATAATAAAATATGGTAAAATTTCAAATTAAACACAAAGAAAAAATAGAGTACATAAAATAAAAAACAAGTACCAATTAAAATTAATGACAACACAAATACTAAGAATAAAATACAATACATAATCATCATTAAGAAATCATTTCAAATTCAATTCAGGCCAAATTCCTCCTTCAATTCAGCAAGAAGCGCATAGTGAGTTTCTAACTCTTCTCCAACCATTGTTGAAGTGTATGCCTTTAGCATTTCTCGGTAGGTCTTCCAAGGCTCCATAAGAACCAATTTTTTAAGTTCATTCTGTTGTTTTTCATTCATATCATTAATATGTCCAAAGACTTCTAACAAACCTTTGGCTTTCTGATCATTGTCACTTTTCATTGCACATTTTACCTTTCTTTTCCCTACATTTGCGCCTTTTGACCAATTGGGTAACGCACATATCTTGTTGGGATCCATGAGGATATTGTTATGTACAAGTTACGAACTCAATAGCAAACGTAAATCTATGCACAACGGATCTAAAGGTTTGACATAGGAAACTTATGACTTAAAAAGTTATGAATCTGGCTTATTCAGGTTGATCGAAAATGGCACATGAGCAGGTCGAGAACACGATCGGGTCGCGAGGTCGAAGCCGGTTGTGTCACGGCGTTGGGTCGTCGACTGGTCGCGATCGACGGCGGTCCTGTCGCGGCAGTCGACGGCGGGGATGGGTTGGCGGATCGTGGCTTTCGGGTCGTGGTTCGTCAACTCCTTATAGATGATCATCTGAGTTTCGATTACCTTTGAATCTTCTACTATATATCTCGAACACCTCTTCAACTTGTATCAGTGGAGCAACAAGAAGAAGATAAAGTTCGAACATAAACTTGAGAGAGAGAGAGAGAAAGAGAGAAAGGAGAAGGA